GGTTAAGTATCTTGCCCCGGGTCACACAACTGATAGGTGGCAGAGCTGGGATTGTTCAAAATTGCAGATCCTAACCCTTAGAGTTGTGAAGTCAATTTACTGGGTTTCAACAAGCATTAAAAAGGAAATAGCATAAGAAATGCCAGTGTTTCATCACATGCAGTAAAGGTAAGTATTGTTTCACTCAAAGAACAACTGTTTTTCAGTTATTTATATGTCTCTTTACACATGTGTGGATGTGCTGGGTTATGATGTAGAATGGATTTCTTACTATGGGTCATGGCCGAAGTCATGGCTGTTGAAGAAGCTCATGGCACGAGAAACTGCTCTCCTCCCTCTACCCCACTGGATAGCCTGCAAGTCCCAGAGTTGAGGCTGACACACTTGTTGGGGAAGGCAAAGCAGTGTCCCACATAACTTGGTGGCTTTCACAGCCACCTTCAAGCCCTGTTCTTTTCAGAAAGCAGATGGCTCAGGGTAACTGCAATTCTGAGTATCGTGCGGCAGGTTTCTGAAGCCACTCGTCCCCCCGGAAAGTCAGCGTTATCTTCAGGTTGACTACATGGGAGCCGGGGTCTGCTGACTTTCCCTTTGGGTTTCAGCACCTGACCCACTTTGGGCTGGCAAAATTCTTTGAAAACATGAATGCTGGGGTTGCTCCAGAGGACTTGGGTGGTGGTGGCAATGGCAGTCTGTGACTGCTCTGAAAGTCTGCTTTGCTTTTCTCCACAGGGCTTGTCAGCCCTCACCTGCTTGCTCACTCTGTGACTGGCGATTCACCTTTCTGTTCTTTCTCGGCTGGCCTAGGCTGGGGCCAACACCATCTCTTTCCAAATCCTCACCCTCTGGTCTCCTCGGGGACTATCAGCTTGGCAGCCATTGTGTTTCCTGATGGCTGGAGGAATTCGTACGCCCAGGAGACTGGTGTGCAGGCCTGAAATGGCCCCTTTTAGGTGACACCAGCTTGACTAGTGCTCACTAGCACCCAAATGATGCATGTCCAGGATTTCCCAGATCTGTGTGCCCTGGCCCTTATGGCTCACTGCCCTTGAGGGGATGCCACGTGGTACTTGTGGGGCTGGTGCCAAAAGAACAGGTTTCCTTCTTGAAAACGAGCAGGCATACTGCAGGTACAGTTTTGTTCTTAATCTTCTCCCTCCCCATTTTTCTAAGAACCCCTCTTCTCTGTTACCAATCAGTGAGTCAGTATACATTTGTACTTGATTTCTCTTACTATCCTCATGTTGATTGAAGTCATAGCTGCCCTTGAGTTTTTACTGTGAAAGACGGTTCAAAGATACTTGTTTCTTTTTAAGCCCACAATATCAAACTCTCTTCAAAGTGGAGCCCTCCTGGGATGTTTGTTACCAGCGTGGTTATGTAGTCAGTGAGTGTAGAGGTGCAGTTCCTTGAGTTTTAGTTTTTGCATTTGTAAAAAGGAAGGGTGTTGTTTTGAAGGATGGATGTGAAGGTTTTCAAATGCCTTGGTATGTCAATGAGAGGGGCCCATGGTGGAGGAGGTGAACAATGCATGCTTGTGCTTTCTGCTTTCATATCTGACTTTGGAGAATGACTTGTTTGCTTCTGCCGATGTTGCGGATCTTGGGATTGGCTCAGTGGCGTGACCTGCTTTTTGGATGTTCTCGCCCTCCTCAGCCATGGAATGGGTGCTCTGGGGGCTGAGGGATTGATTGTGTATTTGTTTTTCTTTCTCTTCTCCTTCCTCCAACTGAATTGTGGAGTCCTTTTCCTGCTGGCTGGCTGCTTCCTGAGTGTTCTCCTTTTTCTCTCTCACATCTATGACTCTGTAGTGGCTTTTAGAAGCCTGTTTGTAATATATGTCCAGACTAGGCCAGATGGAGGAAAAGGCTTGCTTGCTACTGCGCACAGGTGGGAGAGCTGGCTTTCTGTCTGTCTGTGGGCCTTCTTGAAGAGGCTTAGTTTAGAAGATCCTAAGGGGAGGATGTTTTCTGTCGTGAGGGACTATGGCAGCAAAAAGAAGTAAGTCAGTGTAGCCTGGCGGAAATCATGTTGAGACATAAGTCCAAAGACTTGGATTTTAGGACCACGGAGGGGATTGGTGTGGGACCAAGCTGGTTTGCTCTGAATCTCTCTTTCTCATCTGTGATGTGTTGGGGGGTGGCACCTGGGCTCCCAGAGTCACCCACCCTAGACCCTGTAGTATTCTGATTCAAGTACCTCTGGTGGGATTTGTGAGTTCTAGACTCTAGATCCATATATATGGTTAAAGCGTCCTCCCTGAGGGTATTTATAGAAAGCAGTTCTTGCAGCCACTCTGTGTCTAGTGGCCTCCTAGCCACACACGTCCCAGGCCCATGGAGGTAGGGAAACGGGGAATGTGGGCAAAGGCAGGTCTGAAGAAAAGCCTGCATGAAGGAGGAGGGAGGGATCTTGTCTGGTATTGATGCCTCCCTCTGTCTACTTCTAGAAAGGATGGAGATGGGTTGGGTAAGACCCTCTCCCTCATCCAAGAAGCAGCAGCTGACTGGGTAAGAGCCAGAAGGCTTGGGTTGTGATGTGAAGTGTATGACCTTGAGCCATTTACTCAGCCTTTGTTTTATCCTCTGTAAAATGGAGACAATAGTGCTGCCTGCTTCAGAGGATTACAAGTACCTGTCTCATAGGGTGGTTGTGAGGATTGAATTAACACATGTTGCCCAGGCGCCGTGGCTCATGCCTGTAGTCCTAGGACTTTGGGAGGCTGAGATGGGAGGATCGCTTGAGTTCAGGAGTTCAGGACCAGCCTGGTCAACATAGCAAGACCCCATCTCTAAGAAAAAACAAAAAAACAAAAACAAAAACCAAGAAACCCCAAAAACTTATTTAAAAAAATGTGAAACACTTAAAACAGTGTGTAATGCCATAGTAGGTACTATGTAGGGGTCAGATGGTGATACTCTGTTTGTGTGAAGGTAATTGGTTATGGGTTTTCAAAAAGTTTCAACCAGGCCAGGCAGGGTGGCTCATGCCTGTAATCCCAGCACATTGGGAGGCCGAGGAGGGTGGATCACCTGAGGTCAGGAGTTTGAGACCAGCCTGGCCAACATGGTGAAACCCCGTCTCTATTAAAAATATAAAAATTAGCTGGCTGTGATGGTGGGTACCTGTAATCCCAGCTACTTGAGAGGCTGAGGTAGGAGAATCACTTGAACCTGGGAGGCGGAGGTTGCAGTGAGGTGAGATCACGCCATTGCACTCCAGCCTGGTGACAGAACGAGACTCCATCTCAAAAAAAAAAAAAAAAAGTTTCATCCATTGCCAGAAGTATCAAGAACGTCACATTGCCTCTTAGGAAGAAAAAGGTGTAGGCAGTCGCCCCAGCTCCTCTCAGGTCTCTGAACATGTTTTAGTCAATGCTTCCCTCATTTGCCTTAATCTGTAGACACTTGATACTCATTTTCAGAATAAGAACAGTGACTTCTCCATGATGAGATCCCACCCCTGGGAGGACCCACCTGAAATTTACTTGGCCTATGCCACTCAGGGATCTGACTGGCCTGGCGAAGGAGGAAGAAGACCCATAAATATCTACAGTTGATTCAATCCCTGCTGTGTGTCAGGCCCTGATTTCTACCTGTCCGTCCTCATTCCTCTTGACTGCCTTGTGCTTAGTGCACATCCTGACTCCCCGCGGCTCTGTTTTATGTTTTATGAGTGAGGAGGTGAAGTGACCTGCCAGGCTGATATGGGGATGGGAGGGCTAGCATAGGGACCCAGGCCTCTGTGACCTCCCTCCCAGTCTCCATTTGCATTCCTCTGCCTCACAATCTTGTCCGCCTGCCCTTAGAAAAGATTTTTATTTATTTTTTATTTATTTATTTATTTTTGTGAGATGATCTCTCACTCTGTTGTCCAGGCTGGAGTGCAGTGGTGCGATCTCAGTTCACTGCACTCTCCGCCTCTCAGGTTCAAGCGATTCTCCTGCCTCAGCCTCCCAAGTAGTTGGAATTACAGGTGCCCACCACCACGCCCAGCTAATTTTTATATTTTTAGTAGAGACGGAGTTTCACCATGTTGGTCAGGCTGGTCTTGAACTCCTGACCTCAGGTGGCCCACCTGCCTCGGCCTCTCAAAGTGCTGGGATTACAGATTTGAGCCACTGCGCCTGGCCTTTTTTGTTTGTTTGATTTTTGAGACTGAGTTTCACTCTTGTCCCCCAGGCTGGAGTGCAATGGCGCGATCTTGGCTCGCTGAAACCTCCGCCTCCCAGATTCAAACGATTCTCCTGCCTTGGCCTCCCAAGTAGTTGGGACTATGGGTGTGCACCGCCATGCGTGGCTAATTTTTTGTATTTTTGGTAGAGACAGGGTTTCATCATGTTGGCCAGGCTGGTCTTGAACTCCTTGAACTCCTAACCTCAAGTGATCTGCCTGCCTTGGCCTCCCAAAGTGCTGGAATTACAGGTGTAAGCCACCACGCCCAGCCAAAAAGATGGGTTCTTCTATCTTTTCTCTTTCCACAGCCAGGAATATATCCTAAAGAAATGATACAAGTGTCGATAAAACTATGCCCAATGCTGTTTGCTGGTTTGCTTTGCGACCTCTAAATGAAAGAACCTAGCTGCTCAGTAGGAAGGGGATGGTATGATATGAGTATTAAGCAGCCATTTGAAATGTTTGCAAAAGTATATAATGATGTTTCTTACTGTTAAATGGACAAAGCTAGCTGTGACATTATATCTGTAGAATCTAAATGATTTCATAGAATATCTGGAAGGAAATTTTCCAGAATGGTAACAGTAGTTGTCTCTGGCTGATGTGCGATTGTTTTTCTTGCTTCTTTAGACTTTTCTGTATTTTGTGAATTTTCTATAAGGAGGCTGTAGGACTTTTAGGATGAGGGGAGAACCAAAGGCAGCAGAAGAGAAAACAGCAGCTGTCAGGTGAAGGTGGGCTAGCACAGAGGCTCAGAAGGTGCCAGTGGGTGGCAGAAGTGACCTCTCAGGGTATTAGATCCATGTACTCTCTTCTGCCCCGCAGGCCTGCTGAGGAGGAACTGAAGACGAAGAACATGGATGATAACACCCCTGCCGTGGGTAAGCAATTGGCCAGCTTCGGAAGTTTTAGCTTGTATTTACCATGTCTTTCTTCCTACTGTTTTTCTTTCTATAAAAATGAAAAAGGCTGGGCTCAGTGGCTCATGCCTGTAATCGCAGCACTTTGGGAGGCTGAGGCAGGAGGATTGCTTGAGGCCAGGAGTTCAAGAGGAGCCTGGGCAACATAGTGAGACCTCATCTCTTAAAAAAAAAAGAAAAAACAAGACGGGCATGCTGGAATGCACCCGTAGTCCCTGCTACTGGGGAGGCTGAGGTGGGAGGATCATTTGAGCCCAGGAGGTTGACGCTGCAGTGAGTCATGATTGTGCCACTGCACCCCAACCTTGGTGACACAGCGAGACCCTATCTCAAAAAAAAAAATGAAGGGGCACCCTCTGCTTTAGATTGTCACAGAAAACTTCAGAGGCAAAACTGCCAGTTGGCTAGGATGGCAGATTTTCTTAACAAAACCATACCTACTTATATGCCTGTCTTGCCCAATGCTGCCTTTCTCTTCCCTCTAGCAGAACATCCTGATGTCCAGGAGTCAGTGGGTCCACTGGTGGCCCCCACCCCTCTCCGTCCGTGGCCCCAGATGACACTTCAGGTAAGTGGGTCCTTGCAGCCTTGGAGTGGACAGCCCAATAGGAGGCTCACAGTGTAACTATTGCTGGGCTGGGTGGTGGGGCCCACTAGTTCTGGGTCCTCTCTGGGTTAGAGGGAGGGCACAAAACTCAGAACCCGATGGGGGAGGGGGAGAATGCAGTTACTCACCTGGGCTTGTAGAAATGTCATTTGTTAATTTAGCAAAAATTTATGGAGTGCTTGCTCTGTGCCAAGCACTGTTACAGACGTGAAAAATGCTCTTCGAGGGGGCTTATGTGTTAGTAGGGTGAGACATGATAAAATAATAGAATGTATGGTACTTTAGGTGATGATGAGTGATAAGGAAAAATATAAAGGAATAGGGAGTGGGTGAGAGACTGTGTGTGTGTGTTGTTGGGTCGGGGGGTTGCAACTTTAGATTGGGTGGCCTGGGAAGGCTTTAGTGATTAGTGAGATCTGAGCGAAGATCTGAGGAAGGTGAGAGAGTGAGCCACGTGGATAACTAAGGGAAGAACATCCCAGGTGAGTGTGAAGTTCCTGAGGTGAAGCCATGACTAACGTGTGTGAGGGACAGTGTAGAAGCCAGTGCAGCGGGGGCAGAATGAGGGAGGGGGAGAGTGGTGCGGGGTGAGGGCAGAGAGGTGGCTGAGGACAGATTGGGTGGCACCTCACAGGCCATGGTGAGGACTTTGGCTTTTACTCTGAGTGAGGGGGAGCTGCAAGAGCATTGTGGACGGAGGAGGGACGTGATCTGATTTAGGATTTAACAGCCTCCCTCTGGCTGCTGCTTGGAAAATAGACTGTCAGAGCGAGGGTGGAAACTGGCGACCTGTGAAGGGGAGGCCACTGCAGTGGTCCAGGCGAGTATGATGGTAGGTAGGGGAGGTAGAGACATTTTGGAGGGGTGTGTGTGTGTGTGTGTGTGTGTGTGTGAACTTTTTAATTACAAAAAGTTTCAAACATATATAAAAGTAAAATAGTATAACGAACCTACATATACCATCCCTCAGCTTCAGTAAATATCAACACATGTCCATTCTTATTTTATCTATACCCCGTCTCCTCCCTCCCATTCCCTCTGGAATTATTTTGGAAAACATCCAGACATCATCCCATCCATAAATACTTCTTTTTGTATCTCAGAAAATTAAGAACTCTTTTTCTTTCTTTCTTTTTTTTTTTGAGACAGAGTCTTACTCTGTCACCTAGGCTGGAGTGCAGTGGCGTGATCTCGGCTTACTGCAACCTCTGCCTTCTGGGTTCAAGCGAGCACATCCGGCTAATTTTTGTATTTTTAGTAGAGACAGGATCCATTGCCTTGACCTCCCAAAGTGCTGGGATTACAGGTGTGAGCCATCACGCCTGGCCAGAAAATTAAGAATTCTTAACCCCATAATACTATCATCACACCTCAGAAAATAGACGGTAATTCCTTAGTATCATCAAGTATTTGGTCAGTGTTCAAGTTTCCTTCTCTCATAAGTGTTTTAGGATCCAAACAAGGTTGACATGTTGCACTTGATTGATGTGTCTCTTTAGGTTTTAAAAATCTCCCCCACTTTGTTTCTTTGCAATTTGTTGGTTGAAGAAACTTTGCTTGTCCTGTAGAATTTTCCAGTCTGGGTCTGGCTGATTACATCCAGGTGGAAATACGTTTCTTACTCCATTTTTATTAATTTATTAATTCTATTAATGTAATCTTATTAAATTTAATTTATCAAATTAATTGTATTAAATGAATGTATTTAATCTTTTATTATTAAATTAACTAGAATTAACTCTATTTAATTCTACTATTCCCACTTCCTTTATTAGCTAGAATTCTTCTTTAAAGAAAAACTGTCCCACACCAGCTATTTGGCTACTTTGAGATATAGTTTGTGCAGAAAAAGCAGTGTAAATATTTAATTTTTTCCATTTTATTTACCAGTTTTCAGAGAAGTACTACTCCAAAGGTGACCAATAAAAGGATTTTTGGTTTTGTGTCATTATGAACTCATGAATTCTAAACATATTTGATGAGTTTTAATCCATTGCACTTATTTGTGTGTTTTTTTGATGCTTAAAATGAACTACCCCTGGCTAGTAGGAGCTTATTGAGATGGGCTCCTCTGTCTTTTTGACACGTCCTCATCATTCTGTGAGCCTTTCTCACATCTTCCATGACAATATGTGCTAGGCTCATCCTGTACTCTCCCTGCCCCAAGCCTGGAAACAGCCATTTATTTCTTGCTTTTCTTTTCTTTTCTTTCTTTTCTTTTTCTTTATTTTCTTGCCTTTCTTTCCTTTCCTTTCTCTCTCTCTTTCTTTCTTTTACTTTCTTTTTCTTTCTTTTCTTTCTCTTTCTTTCTTTTTCTTTCTTTCTTTCTTTTTTTTTTTTTTTTGAGTCAGAGTTTTTCTCTGTTTCCCAGGCTGGAGTGCAGTGGCACAATCTCAGCTCACTGCAACCTCTGCCTTCTGGGTTCAAGTGATTCTCCTGTCTCAGCCTCTTGAGTAGCTGGGATTACAGGCACATGCCACCACACCCGGCTGAATTTTGTATTTTTAGTAGAGACAGGGTTTCACCACGTTGGTCAGGCTGGTCTCGAACTCCTTACCTTCCTGGTGATCCACCCGCCTTGGCCTCCCAAAGTGCTAGGATTACAGGCGTGAGCTACCGCACCTGGCCAGAAGCAGCTATTTCTTTAAGGAGCACTGGTTCCTTTCAGTGGAGAGTGGCATTCAAAGGCCAAGATTTGGGGGCTCAGCATTCTTGCTGCTACTAGATTGGTCATTGTTTCTAGGCCTTTTCAAAAGATGGAGCTAGGAAATAATTTTTTTTAAAAGAGAAGATGATACATCATGGGTTCATATGGACATCCCGACTGTGTTTTGGGAATTTTTTTTTGCATTTTAATTTTTAAAAATGTATAAATTTTTAATTTTTGAGGGGACATAGTGTATATGTTTATGGAGGTGTTTGGATACAGGTATGCAATGTGTAATAATCACATCATGGAGAAGGAGGTATGCATCTCCTCAAGCATTTATCCTTTGTGTTACAAACAATCCACTTACACTCTTTTTTTTTTTTTTTTTTTGAGACAGAGTCTCTCTCTGTTGCCCGGGCTGGAGTGCAGTGGCACAGTCTTGGCTCACTGCAACCTCTGCCTTCTGGGTTCAAGTGATTTTCCTGCCTCAGCCTCTTGAGTAGCTGGGATTACAGGTGCGCAACACCATGCCCAGCTAAATTTTTATATTTTTGGTAGAGAGGAGGTTTCACCATATTGGCCAGGCTGGTCTCGAACTCCTAGCTTCATGTGATCTGCTCCCCTTGGCTTCCTAAAGTGCTTGGATTACAGATGAGAGCCACTGTGCCTGGCTACTTATACTTTTAGTTATTTTAACTGGCTCTGTTTTGAAGGTAAGCCAGCAGTGTTTAGTGATTATCATTCACCAAATATTCACACCCACCAAATTCCTCAGCTTTATAATCTGCAAGAAGCCCCATTTTACTGCATCTAATTGTATTATTTTACCATAGATGACAGTCTTTGGAGTCTAGACAGTGACAGAGGGTGCTTTAAGGTGTTTTTATATAGAAACCCCTGTGGGGCTGGCTGTGGGCTGTCACACTTCTTACTGTCTCTGCTTGTTCCATCCCCTCCTCTGCTTCATTCCCTTGCTTTTTCTCTGCCCCCTCGCCCCGGCCATGGCTCCAGGTTTCTGATGTTCCGATGACTGGCAACCCCGCAGAAGAAGGTGACGTCCCCAGAAGCAGTCCTCCTGTGGCTTTTACAGAAGTCCTCCAGGCACCGGCCATCAGGATTCCCCCCTCCTCCCCTCTCTGTGGCCTGGGTGGCTCCCCCAGAGACCAGGCCTCAGGGCCCGATGCGAGCGAGGGGGCCACCGGGCCTTTCCTGGAGCCCAGCCAGCAGCAGGCAGAGGCCACATGGGGAGTATCGAGTGAGAATGGAGGGGGGCTGGAGGCCATGAGTGGGTCAGAGGAGCTGCTCGGTGAGGACACCATTGACCAGGAGCTGGAGCAGCTCTACCTGTCTCATCTGAGCCGCCTACGGGCTGCTGTGGCTGCGGGTGGGGCAGGGGGTGGTGGAGAGGGTTCCACAGATGGAGGGATATCCCCCAGCCATCCCTTGGGCATACTGACGGACCGTGACCTGATCTTGAAGTGGCCTGGCCCTGAGCGGGCCCTAAACAGCGCCCTGGCTGAGGAGATCACACTGCACTATGCCCGGCTGGGGCGTGGCGTGGAGCTCATCAAGGACACCGAAGACCCTGATGATGAGGGGGAGGGTGAAGAGGGGCTCTCTGTCATACCCTCCAGCCCAGAAGGGGACAGCCCCAAGGAATCGCCTCCGGAAATCCTCTCCGGGGCCCGTTCTGTGGTAGCCACTATGGGAGATGTGTGGCTCCCATGGGCAGAGGGCTCAGGATGTGACGGCCCTGTGGTTCTGGGTACAGAGGGTCAGTTCACTGGGGATCCTGAGAAAGGGATGGGCAAGGACACTAGCTCTTTGCACATGAATAGGGTGATAGCTGGGGTGACCGAGTACCTGGGGGAGGCCGGGACAGAAGCCCAGATAGAGGTCACCAGTGAGTGGGCAGGCAGCTTTGATCCCATATCTGGCAAGGAGCCAGCCTCTCCTGTCCTTCTGCAGGGGCAAAATCCCACCCTCCTCAGTCCTTTGGGGGCCGAAGTCTGTCTCTCTAGCATAGCCAGGCCTCATGTGAGCTCCCAGGATGAAAAGGATTCAGGCCCAAGCCTTGAACCCCCAAAGAGGTCTCCCAACCTAGCAGCCCCTGCAGAATGTGTGTGTGCACTGCCTCCTCAGCTCCGGGGGCCCTTGACCCAGACTCTGGGGGTCCTGGCTGGGCTAGTGGTGGTCCCTGTGGCTCTGAACAGTGGTGTGTCCCTCCTGGTGCTTGCGCTGTGCCTCTCTCTGGCTTGGTTCTCGTAGGCTCTGCTTGTGGGATCAGCAGAGGCTTGAGATGGGATACATGGCCTGTGCAGTGAGGGGACCTGGGTCCTTTGCTTCTGAGAATGCTCTACTGAAAGAGAGGCCTTCCCATCCCCAAGCTCTCCAGTTAACACAGGGCTCCCTGTGGTGACCCCAGTGGAGACGAGGGGATGGGTAGATGGTGTGAGTGAGGGGAACTTTTAGAGTGGAACTGGGCATGTCCTCCCCCTACCCCCTGAGCCTGTATTTATTTTTGTATAATTCTCTGGACGAGGGAGAGTGGTCGTGAGCTGGTCTTGGGGCACAATTACCCAGAGATATATTTATTAACAGCCAACCTGTGCAACATGCTGGAGCTTTATTTTTAATTTATATAGAGTACCTATTATTATATGCCACAATAGAGCTCTATGAGAAACAGTGTCTTGTGGTGTAGTGTTCTCCTGTTTGGGCATGAGTGTGCAGGGTGGTCACTTTCTGTGGGAGGATCACAGTGGGGAGTTGGGGGTGGGACGTGGTCGCCTGCTGCTGCTTCAACATGTCTGTCCTTGAAGATCTGTGTCTCCTCACCTCGTGGTCCTAATCCATATGGTTCTTTGTCTTTTCCACATTCTGCCTGTGGGACCCTACAGGTGTGTATTTGGATGGTGGTGGTGGGAGCCAGGGAGGAAGAGTGGCGGCCACATGAGGGTTTGGTGTCAGTCACATGGTTGCAGTGGTACCTGTGGTCTCCTGTGGATGTGGGAACATCAGTTGTGAATCAGCCACAAGGTTTTGAGGTTACTGAAAAAACAGCCTTTGACACCAGCAGGGAGACCCCTTAGCCCCTGAGATAAGGAAGGCCTCAGAAACGAAAGAGGAGTTAACGTACTGTAGTACTTTGTAGCACAGTTGTTGTCCACAGACATCACATTTCTGCTAAAAACAGGAAGCCCAGAAGGTTTGAAAGAAAGATATATATTTATTGCATGCAAATAAAAAACTGCTCAACAAAATAAAACACCACATATTTATTTACTTCCCTTTACAGCAAAACTTATTGAAAGAAATATTTATACAAGCTTTCTTCAGTTCTTCTATGATGCCTTTCTGAAATAGCCCCAGTCAGATCTTTTTTGCCCAACCATTTCGGCAAAACTGCTGAAGATACATTGTTATAGCCACGGTTAAGTCTCAGACGTCATCTTATTTGGGATATTGGTAGCATTTGACATAGTTGATCATCTCTACCTTGCAACCCTTTCTTCACTTGGTTTCCCAAGACACCACACTCTCCTCATTTCCCTTCTTCATTGGCCACTGTGCAAAGCTGTCAGTTCTCTTGAAACTGCTTTGTGGGTTCAATGCAAATCCAACCACAATTCCAATAGAATTTTGCCTGTGTGCAGATCATGACACATTAATTCTTAAATTTATGTAGAAGTGCCAAGACTAGCCAGGACACATACTTATTGTGGTGGTATATTCAGATGGCACGATATTTTTACAAGAGTAGACAAGTAGACCAATAGAAGACTATTGATCTCAGAAACAGTGGAGACACACTCATGTGTAGACACAGAACTGGTGACCAAGCAGGTGTCTTAGATCAGTGGGGGAATGATTGGATTTTGAATAAATACAACAATTGGTTACCTGCATTGAAAAATATGAACTTGGATCCCTACTTTACAACACAAATAAAAATAATTCTAGGTGGGCTTAAAGCCTAAATGTGAAGGGCAAAACCAAAGTGCTTTAAGAATACAATAAGGCAGGGCCAGGCCCGGTGGCTCACTCTTGTAATCCCAGCACTTTGGGAGGTCGAGGTGGGCGGATCAGGAGTTTGAGACCAGCCTGGCCAACATGGTGAAACCTCGTCTCTATTAAAAATACAAAAATTAGCTGGGCATCCACCTGTAGTCCCAGCTGCTTGGGAGGCTGAGATGAGACAATCGCTTGAACTCAGGAGGCAGAGGTTGCAGTGAGCTGAGATGGCACCACTGTGCTGCAGCCTGGGCAACAGATCGAGACTCCATCTCAAAAAAAAAAAAATACAATAAGGCAAAATACCTTCGTATACTCATGGTAGCAAAATTTTCCATCATGACACAGAAACATTAACCATAAACGAAAATTATGAAACATTCAGTGACTTTAAAATTAGGAATGTCCTTTGACCAAAAGACACCACAAAGAGAGTGAAAACATTATGTAGTAGGTTGCTATGAATAAAAGCAAAACAAAACAAAAAAAGTGAAAACACAAGTGACAAATTGGGAGGAGATAATGGAATCATATATAACTGATGAAGGGCTCAAACCTGGAATACATTAAGAAAAACTAGGTGTGCCAATAAGCATCTAAATAAATTGTGGTATATTCACAGAATGGAATATTGTATAATGAGAATAGAAGATCCATAACTGCACAAAAGCATACAGATGAATCACAAAAAGCCAAACAAAAGCTTCCACACTGATCCATTTATGCGAAGTTCTCAAGCAGGCAGAACTCATGAATTACCACCTAAGTGGTGACATTGTAAAGAAAAGCGAGGGGCTGATTACCAGAGTCAGGATAGTGTTCACCTCTGGCAGAGGGAGGGATGTGGCTGAGAAGGAGCCCGGAGGATTTCTGGGATGTCAATAATGGTTCACTGCTTGACCTGGAAGACTGTTCATGGATGTGCAATTTATTCATCGTCATTAAAACAGATTTATGGACCGGGTGTGGTGGCTCACACCTGTCATCCCAGCACATTGGGAGGCCGAGGCAGGCAGATCACTTGAGGTCAGGAGTTCAAGACCAGCCTGGCCAACGTGGGGAAACCCTGTCTCTACTAAAAATATAAAAATTAGCCGGGCGTGGTGGTGGGCGCCTATAATCCCAGCTACTTGGGAGGCTGAGGCAGGAGAATCACTTGAACCCAGGAGGTGAAGGTTGCAGTGGGCCGAGATCACACCACTGCACTCCAGTCTGGGCAACAGAGCAAGACTCTTGTCTCAAAAAAAACAACAACCCCCTCGCCCCATACATTTAGGTTTTATACACTTACGCACAGACCTCAAAAGTGAAGCAGAGTGCAGTGGGAAGTGGGAGTAGCGTGAGTGTCTGAGACTCCTGCGCACAGGCTTGCAGAGACTTCAGCCTCCTGGTGTGAACCACACAGTGTAGGCGGCCTCCTTCCTGCAGAACCATCCCTGGGCTCCGGGTCTTGCCTTCTGTTCGTGGAGATCGCCTGGTGGGGAATCCTCTATCGTGTGCCCCTGACACCAGCCATAGAGCGGGGCCTCTCGGGATGGATAGGACCTGCCCATTTTGTCCTCAGATGTTGGGGTCCATCTCCCCTCAGGCCTCATTCACACCCACAATAGCCCAGGACATATGGACTTTGGGGCCTGGTGGGCCTCATAAAGGCCTGGAACCCCAAGCCCTGGTGGTGTGACCTTGGGCAAGTCACCTGCCCTCCACCAGCCTTGGTTCCCCATTCATAAAGGGGGCTGATGCCTGCCAAGCAGGGTAGGTGCAGGCTTTGGGGAAAACGTGTGTACTGCCCTCCTCCTGAGCCCACGTTAGACAGGTCTTGTAGTCAAGGCAGGGTAGGAGGGTGGACAGGAGCAGGGGCTGGAGCGACACAGGTTGGGACTAAATTGCCCTGGGTCACACGGTGGGCAAGTGACTTCAGCCCTCTGTGCCTCCCTTTGCTCATCTGTCATCAGGGTAATAACTTTCCCTCCTCACAGGGTTAAATGAGGGAGAGGTGAGATGAGTCTTCAGTCACCGGGCGGCGCCAGGCACAGGGCAAGACTGAGTACACGCCCATTGTCATCCCCGCTGGCTGGAGCTCTTGCAATCACTGTTATGCCCCCACCCTGCCCTCTCCCATTAATCTGTTAATGTGGTGAATTACATTGATAAGTTTGTACATCTGTCTTTTAAAATTGAGATGCAGTCTCGTTCTGTCACCCAGGCTGGAGTGCAGTGGCACAATCACGGCTCACTGCAGCCTCAACCTCTGGGTTCAAGTGATCCTCTGACCTCAGCCTCCCGAGTAGCTGGGACTACAGGCACACGCCACCATGCCCAGCTACTTTTTGTATTTTTAGTAGAGACAGGGTTTTGCCATGTTGCCCAGGCTGGTCTCGAACTCCTGAGCTCAAGCCATCCACCTGCCTCAGCCTCCCAAAGTTTTGGGATTACAGGCATGAGCCACTGCGTCTAGCCTACTTTTCTTTCTCTCCCTCTCTCTTTCTTTCTCTTTCTCTCTTTCTTTCTTTCTTTCTTTCTTTCTTTCTTTCTTTCTTTCTTTCTTTCTTTCTTTCTTTCTTTCTTTCTTCTTTTCCTTTTCCTTTTCTTTCCTTGTCTCTTTTCTCTTTTCTTTCTTTTGTTTTGTTTTGTTTCCTTTTCTTTTCTTTTCTTAACGGAGTCTCGCTCTTTCTCCCAGGCTGGAGTGAAGTGGCGCATTCTCAGCTCACTGTACCCTCGGCCCCCTGGGTTCAAGAGATTCTCCTGCCTCATCCTTCCGAGTAGCTGGGATTACAGGCATGCGCCACCATGCTCTGCTAATTTTTGTGTTTTTAGTAGAGACGGGGTTTCGCCATGTTGGCCAGGCTAGTCTCGAACTCCTGACCTCAGGTGATCCATCTGCTTCAGCCTCCCAAAGTGCTAGGATTACAAGCATGAGCCACTGCGCCTGGCCCTACTTTTCTTTCTAAAAATTTTAGTGGCCAGTCACTGGATAAACTCTACTTCTATCACCCATTTACAGGTGAGGGCCTTCCATGTTCTTATCGGCCCTGAGCTCAGCCCTTTGCCGAGGACTTCTTGGTCTGCCTCTCCCTGCTCCTTGTGACTAGGGCCAGCATCTTAGTTTCACAGTGGCCCCATCTCTCTGTCCTCAGCCCTCAGTCCTGCTGTCACCCACCTGCATCCTACAACCCCTCTGCTTCCCCTCCTCAGTGTTTTTTGTCCAGGGTGAGACCAAGTCCAAACCTGAGCTTCCTGCTAAGTCAAAGTGACTTTTTCCTTTCAGTCAGGGAAACCTGACTGAAGCCTCTGGTCCCACAGTGAGGTCTTGGTGTCTCCAGGAACAGCGCAGCCATGGACGGCCACCCTACAGCGATACCTGTCTTTGTCAGCAGGGGGCATCTTATCTCCAAGATAGGGAAAGCCTCAGAGAAGACAGTCTTAAACATTCACTGCTTTGACAAACCTGACAAAAGCAAGAAATGGGGAAAGGATTCCCTATTTAATAAATGGTGCTGGGAAAATTGGCTAGCCATAAGTAGAAAGCTGAAACTGGATCCTTTCCTTACTCCTTATACGAAAATTAATTCAAGATGCATTAGAGACTTAAATGTTAGACCTAAAACCATAAAAACCCTAGAAGAAAACCTAGGTAATACCATTCAGGACATAGGTATGGGCAAGGACTTCATGTCTAAAACACCAAAAGCAATGACAACAAAAGCCAAAATTGACAAATGGGATCTAATTAAACTAAAGAGCTTCTGCACAGCAAAAGAAACTACCATCAGAGTGAACAGGCAACCTACAGAATGGGAGAAAATTTTTGCAATCTACTCATCTGACAAAGGGCTAATATCCAGAACCTATAAAGAACTCAATCAAATTTACAAGAAAAAAACAACCCCATCAAAAAGTGGGCAAAGGACATGAACAGGCACTTCTCAAAAGAAGACATTCATACAGCCAACAGGCACATGAAAAAATGCTCATCATCACTGGCCATCAGAGAAATGCAAATCAAAACCACAATGAGATACCATCTCACACCAGTTAGAATGGCAATCATTAAAAAATTCAGGAAACAACAGGTGCTGGAGAGGATGTGGAGAAATAGGAACACTTTTACGCTGTTGGTGGGACTGTAAACTAGTTCAACCATTGTGGAAAACAGTGTGGCGATTCCTCAAGGATCTAGAACTAGAAATGCCATTTGACCCAGCCATCCCATTACTGGGGATATACCCAAAGGATTGTAAGTCATGCTGCTAT